TTCATATATATATATATATATATATATATATGGCATAAATAAAATAGTTCGGATTTTTTGCTATTTCTAGGTCACTATGTCACTAGATCTCTGTATATAAAAAAGTCTGAAAATGTATTAATTTACATTTTTAAAGACTTGTCTTATTTTATTTTATTACATTAATTTTTGCATTTATATATGGCATAAATAAGAAATTAGTTATTAGGATTTTTCACTATTTCTAGGCCACTAATCAAATTAGTGAAATCGATAATGTTGTACAGATGGTCACATACGCTTTGGAACATTCTGAAACCATGCTGGATCACGTGATCATCAGTTTTGTTCATAGCATCTCCAGTGCTGTTGTCATTGAAGCAAAAAGTTACAAACTACATACTAAGACTTTCAGCCGGCAGCCATATCACCCTGAAGCCCAAGACTGGTCGCCCACTGAAACTAAGCAGGGTTGAACCTGGTCAGTACCTGGATGGGAGACCTCATGGGAAAACTAAGTCGCTTTGAGTGCTTAGAAAAGCGCTATATAAATGTAATTCAGTGTATATGTAGTTTGTGCTCAACCACATTTGCATCTCTCTGCAGGTTTCCCTGAATGCATGGTTCTGGTCTACAGTGTTTCACACGAGAGACACCTATCTAACAGAGGTAACCTTTCAAGAGATGATTCAGAGACAACATCTTAAAGGGGTCATATGATGTGATTTCCATTTTTCCTTTCTCTTTGGAGTGTTACAAGCTCTTGGTGCATAAAGAAGATCTGTAAAGTTGCAAAGACTAAAGTTTCAAATCCAAAGAGAGATTCTTTATAAACGTTAAGAGTCAGCCACACCTACCTAAAACGGCTCGTTCTAACACGCCCCCACATGTCTACATCACTATGTGGGAAGATTTGCATAACGCCGCCCAAATGTTCACGCAAAGAAAGAAGGCGTAACTTTTATTCTCGCTGTAGTATTGTAAACACATTTCATTACACCAAATACACAAAATAATGTTCTTTTTAGCAACATCATATGACCCCTTTAACATTTTCTTGTGTAGTTCTTGGATTAAGAAGAACGATTGTCATGGCAAAAAAAAAAGTCACATCAAAATTGCTGATAGAGATTTTCTATTTTTGTTTTATAGAAGATGGACTACTTCTGTGCATCAGCTGTCATTCTTTACTCGATCTACTTGTGCTGTGTCAGGTATGTGAACAGGAAATCCTCATAAATTGACCATATATAGTGCTTGTTAAACTTTTTGTTTATGGTGATTAGTATTTGTGTTTCAGGACGTTGGGCTTGCGTAGGCCTGCAATTTCCAGTATGGTGGGAGTTCTGCTCATTCTGGCCTTCACGTCTCATGTGTCTTATCTGACCTTTGTCAGTTTTGACTATGGGTACAACATGGCTGCCAATGCCACCATAGGTAAGTGTTGTGAATACAGCAGTGTGTTTACATACAGTGCCTCTGATAAGCTGATAATGTGTAAGTTCATGTCAAAATGCCCTAAATGTTGTTGGGTTTTTTTTATCACTTGGAAAAGGCTATGAATGGATTGTATTTACTTAATATTTGTTAATACTTGTATTTATCGTAATCAGTGTTTCTGGGTTTCTTATTGTGTAAATGATTCATCAGCATACATTATTCCAAATAAAAACGGGATTGGTATTTCACGGTCTACTGCAAAATATTGAGGTCTGAATCTGGAGTCGAATGTCCGATTTTCGCAATCCAGTCAAATCATCATGAATAAAATCAAGTCATGAGCTATATTTTTAATATCCTGTTTCATTCAGAAAAATATCACGTTACTGGACTAACATGAGTTTTGAATGCTGTTTCATATTGACTTTAATTAAAGCATGATCAGTTTATTGATTACTGTAGATCTTTGCATGTGAACGCCTGCATCAGTTGTTCTGTCAGCTTTGTAATATTTCTGACAATATTAGTCGTTTCAAAAAAAATTTTTTTATTATTATTTTTTTTAATTGTAATTAACTCCTGTTTGCAAAGCTGAATTTTCGTCAATGAAATCAGTGGAAAACCAGCTTCACACTATGTAACACAAACTAAAGGTTTAAAATCAAAACTGATACAATAATAGGCTACGATAGGCATTCTTTTCTCACCCATCTGTTATTCCCTCTGGTCTTGGTCTTCTCTGTTACAGGCATGATAAACCTGTTGTGGTGGTTGTGCTGGTGTTGGCTGAACCACAGGATTTTGCCGTACTGGTGGAAGTGTGGGATGGTGGTGCTCTTACTGCATGGCCTTGCCCTGCTGGAGCTGCTGGATTTCCCTCCTCTCTTCTGGGTCCTAGACGCTCATGCCGTCTGGCACCTCAGCACCGTGCCCGTCCACTTCCTCTTCTACAGGTACACATGCACTATGTATGTCTATATCGTGTGTCTGCAGGATGTAAATTGCACATATTAATTTAGTTTTTTGGTATTAATTAGTTTTTACACATTTCTCAATACTTGGGTTACGTTTTCAAAACTCATCACACAGTTCTTCTTACAGTTCTTCTTACTTTCCGGCTTGGCACAGCAGGAAATTTCACATCCAAACTGCTTTAAAACTATCAAAACACTTTTGTTTCAAATCAGTTCATTCTTCCATAACGCATTGCAAGGATTGTCACCGAACAAACACACTTTGTCGCTCATAAAGCAATGACTAACAGGTAGCATTATAGTGGTTTTTTTTAAATTTTTTTTTTAATTCCTTTATAAAACAAGAATGACAGCTCTTTGCTGTTTAGAATTCAGTTTGTTACATTGCAGTACAAAACTATACTAAGTTGTCTCCTTTTGTATAGATGGTAACAAAATTGAAAAATTAATGATATGAATTTTTTAGATTTGAAATATATTTCATTACTGTAGAAATGTGAATTCATGCTATATGAAAGATATATACACACACATACTGTGGCCACGAATTAAGATTACCTTCCCTCTTTTATTTAAATCATGGCTACAGTTTACTAATTCATTCCCCAAACGAGGGAAAGAATTAATACAATGTCGCCACAATTTCAATAAAATGAGCGAACAAATTCGAATAATTTAGTTACTTGTGGGAACGAGTTCTTAATTTGTGGCCACAGTATTTAATTTTCCCCCTGCGTGTCATGTGTGGGGTTCCGTAGAAATGGGTTCTGGCACTTGTATTAAAAACTAAAACCGTAAAGTACAATAAATTGGTGTAGGATTTACTTTGAAACCATTTTCATTCAGAAATTGCTGCTAAATTTCACAAATGATTACATAAACAGCATATAACCTATGAAATAAACATGACATTTTTAAGTAGAAATGTTCTTGTAGAACATACAAAATAATTTTTTACAGTGTATGTTTTCCTTGCTTTTTTTTTTTCTTGTAGTTTTCTCATAGATGACAGCCTTCACCTCCTCAACACAGAGAAGCCTGGAGTGAAACTGGACTAGGACAAAACCGTCTCAGAACCCCAACCCCTCCTCTGATATCCTTCCCATCAGGGCAAGTGCGAGCCGGACCGAGCCAGGCCTCAACCGCAGTGGCTTCCAGCATGTGTCCTGGGGCTGAAGTTTTGAATTTCATTGTTTTCTTTGTGTTTACACTTTCTTTTTACCATAACTTTTTTTTATTTTTGTATTGTACAGAAAGGGTTGTCGTTTGGGCTGGTTTTAAAGATGTGCCACTGATGTTTGCATTCACTTGAGCTTTGCCTTCAATTAAGAAGTAAATCAGCCTTTATCATCACAGCACTCTTTTAAAAAGGTGCACTGAATAATAACCATCTTTGCAGATGAATATCTTCACATAAGGTGTTCATATCTCCCACTCATATCCGTCTACATTTGTGGTGCTTGATTTAATGGCCCTGAAGTGAATATATCTCAGAGATAGAAGTAGATTGAGCTTTAGTTTTAAACATCCGTTCACTATAAGCGTGCTGAACATCAGGAGGGGTTGAGTGAGCAGTGTGCTCTGTTTCTGAGACGTGTGGCGGTTACCTCACTAGGGTGCAACACCAGTGGCTACCAGCAGAGGTGCTGATTAGCTTCCATATTGCGGGAAGTTCACTGTTCTGTGAAATTAAAATTATGTTGAAAATTAACATAAGGAAAAGTTTAGTAGAACGTTCATATAATAAAAATAAAAGGTGACCATTGACCGACAAGCTTCAAAAATGACAAAAAGCACCATTATATGGGCTCTATAGGCCCATTCACACCAAGAACGATAACTATGAAGTTTGAAAACATTCTAATTCTGTTAGAATAAGGACGTTTACATTATTATAACAATGATGAGACAGGAATGATATCATTGGAATCACTTTCAGAACAATTTTTTCTAGCTCATGAATGATAAAAACATTGACAGCCAATCAGATCTTGCTTTAAAGAGCCTAAGCATTTTAATAGCCCCTGTGATGAAAATCAAGTTTTTAATGTTGTTTACATGTCTATCGGGTGTTTTAATATGCCAAACCATGTGCAAACTCATCAGTCAACACCACTGCAGATCATTTTCTCCTTAAAACTGCGGTGTACCAAAGACTCAAAAATGCGGTCACAAACTATCACAAACATGCAACCAATCCAGTCATCTTGCAGGGTGGGGCTTTTTATATTATTATCAAAACTGTTTTTACCTAAGGATGTAGATTTTAGAAGGTAGCTGTCTAAGACGGTGAACAGGAGCGTGGTTTGTGTAACATTAGCGACATGTTATTAACTGTTTGATAATGTAGTCAGATCAAAGGCTAATGATATATACCGTTACATGTCTGATGTTGTAGAGCGTGATACATAAAATGCATTACCATTCTGATACACTGACTTGTATACGGCCCTGTATAATTCATTCTTCCTCTTCTTCTTTGGAATCGGTTTTTGGTTCAAACAAATATGGCTGAATGAATCCAATATCGCTACTTGCCATTGTGTAGCATTTACTACTTCAGTTAACCGAGTAAAAGTGGAACTGGTAGTCCAAACTCATGTGATTGAGTGGAGGTGGGGTCTAATTTGCATATTCTTGGATCCGCATATATTAAATGAGGTTAGGGTAGGGTTATATTCAAGCCATTTTAAGGCATAAAGAGAAATTATTTTATGTTATCATTATAGTTATTTTTCTTGGTGTGAACGGGCCTTATTTCAAGTCTCTGGGCCAGTTTTACTAACAGCTTGCGCCAGCGCAAACCGTCTTTTGGTGTTAAAATAGTACTGTCAGGATTTACTAAAGACGCACAGCGACGAATTAGCACTGAAAAGGCGTGGACACAGTTATTTTTGCACCTCCCCTTATTGAATATGCATTTGTAGGAGTTTCCCTTTCAGACGCAAAATTTATGGGAGGGGAGTATTCAAGTGAATCACGCAACACGATTTACTATCGTTTGCGCTCGTCAAATTACTGGTATTTGCGCCATTATTTATCGCCCCAAAAAAGCATGTCTTAAATTATTTTGCGCTTAATTTGCGCATTGTTAGTAAATCACCCGCAGAAATTTCCACGCCCATCTGCGCTGTTTTGAAATTGTGCTCTCACGCTAATTTGCCCTGTTTAGTAAAACCAAAAATTAAAACATTATTTATCGATAACATTTGACTGAATCTCTGTTTCATGACATGGATATTATGATGATAAATGGTGCTTTATTGCCATTTTGTAGGTTGATACTGTAACTTTTAGTCACTCTGTGCTTCCATTTCATAGAAAAATACAGCATGAACATTCTGCTAAACATCTCCTTTTGCATTCCATGAAGGAAAATCATGAGTAAATGACAGATTTGTTTAATATTTGGATCAACTATTACTTTAATCACTCTAGGGGGAATGTCTATTATCAGCACCACAGAGCTACTCGTTGCCTGAATATAAAATACTGACTTGATCCTTATGACATAAAGAGTTAAAGAGTGGCATGATATGTGATAGCAAAGAAACTAATTTTCCTTTTGACTGGGATTTTATATAGCATGGTTTTTCTCTCTGTTGCTGCTTTATCTTCGTTTTTCATTTCCTTGAACTTTTTGTATATCCGATCACTTTGTGCTTTATTTTGATTTCATTTTCGTTTGATTTTTATTTTCACCACGAATGCCTCTGCAGTGAAAATATTACATAGAATTGGGTTTCCACAGAAGGTAATGGAAAAGGGATAAAAAGGTGTGTGTGTGTGTGTGTGTGTGTGTGTGTGTGTGTTTGTTTGTTTAGTTGCTGTGCATCGCATTTACACACGTATTACTATAGCAACCTGACGGCTACCACAGCTTATATCCTTAGCAATGTTATTAAGCTCCTTCTATTCAGAACGCTTGTCACACTATGCCTTACATTTTTAATCTTTTATTGTTCATACAAGGCAGCACTTCTCCATGTGTGTATCCACAAATCTCTCACCATCCACAGACTCTTATTCACTCGTGCCAGACTATTTCTTGTATAATTTTAAAGTGAATCCACACTTTTACAGATTCTAGAGTTATTGTGACTTGAGCCAAAACCATTTGATTGCCTGATATGTCTTTGTTCCATATCATCACTTGTGCCCTTTATGTATGTGTGTGTGTGTGTGTGTTTGTGTGTCAGAACAAGAGTGCAAGCATGATCAGCCTGGAGGGTAAATATAGCCATTTAGAAAGGCTAAAAGCGGTATAGAGGGGGAGGGGACAACAAGGGTATCCAGAACTGTGATGGTGTGGGCCGCTGATCAGACTCAACAATTCACTGCATCTGTCTTTTGAGAGTCTTGATGAGCAGAACGTCAATGCTACAGTATTTCTATAACTATGAAGGAGTTTAACCACTAACTACAACTTTTTAAGCTTGTTTATTTAAAATTGCGATCAAACGGAAGAAGTGACAGATCTTTTCTATAATGTGGCATACATCTGAGTTTAGTGGATTATTGAAAAATCAAAAAAAATATCGAGTGCTACTTGGTTCTGTTGATTGTTTGTTGATTGGGTTTTGAGATGTGGGTATTGCATTCAACAGTGGAGGCAGATAAATATGAGCTTGGGGTTTAATCATACTATATTATTGGAGATGTCCTGTGTACGTCACCAGAGAGAAGTCTGTCATTTTCATCGAAAGGTCAATTTTTTTCAAAACTTAAACGTATGCATGGATTAATATTCATATAACATGCATTTGGAAAATAGATAGGATGACTTTACACATTATTCCGACTTTAAAGGAAAGTTATATACAGCTCTATAACCAGCATCTGTGGCAAGATGTCTATTACCACAGAAAATGCAACAAATTTCCAAGAGAAATTTCGACATGTAGTATGGTTTGTAAAATCCAAAACATTATGGAAATGTTGATGAAAAATCCCCATAAAGTAGTTGGATTTTTACAATTGAAATCTATGGGGCCACATCGTGCCCAATACATTTCAAAATATCTTTTTATCAGAATATAAAAAAAAAAATTTTTTGGTAATTGACAGATGCTTCTGGAATATTCCTTTAATTAGGATGACTACGTTAATACAATATAACTTTTTCATGGATACAACTGTACTAACTTATATATGCTTTTCTCCTTTAAAACATTTTTCATATTTTGTTCTTTGTTTTTAAAGCAGAATGGAGGTCATATATTATACTGTCTGGAAATCCATCAAGTTAAAACTGTAAAATAACCTGCATGCTGAATGTAAACTTGACCTTTTTTCATGTTTAGGAAACTAAAAAGAAAGGGAATTATATTTACTGTATGCCTGGACTGGTAAATGGTCGTGAATGCTTAATTTCTTTTTTGACACTGTTGTCTGTATGTAATGTAACATAAGGCCAAACACCAGAGGTGACTGCTGGGTATTCTAATTGTTAATGTCCCGCAGGATTTCCAAATTCTCCCTCTTTTTCAATGGCCAGTTTGATTGTGGCCATCCACAGGCTTAACATAGACTCGCCCTGTGTATCTCTCTTACCTTCAATTTCTCTTCTCGCTCTATCTGTCCCTTTCTCTTGCTCTCTTTCTTTGTCTTGGTATTGTATTGCACCTTTCTCCACCATTTGTACACGGGTCCAAATGTGTATAAAGAAACCTCTATAGAAATTAATAAAACTGTTGACTATTAATTCTTTTACTGGTAAGCCTATGTGTTTAATTCAGTAACACTGTGAGAGGCTGTGCTGCATCATGGAGAAAAAAAATCATGAAATGCTTTTATGAAATGGTTAATACATAATAAAAATGTTAAGGACATGTTTTCAGTTTACTAAGCAAATTCATATAGCACCTGACATGTAAACTAAGGTTAATTGTGGGTCTTATGGACACTGCTGAACAGGTATTTCGTGTTGGTAACCAAACAGTTGCTGGTAGCCATTGACTTCCATAGCTATGGAAAAAAAATACTTTGGAGGTCAATGGCTACCAGAAACTCTTTGGTTGCCGATATTTTTCAAAATGTCTTATCTTTTGTGCTAAGAAGAAGAAAGAAACAACATGAGTGTGAGTAAATTGTGACAATTTTCATTTTTGGGTGAACTATCTCCTTACCATTGTTGTCACACTAGAAAAGGAAAGGTAAATCAGTTGGATTCCATTATTATACTGTGTGCTCTGCTGTATGCTGCAAATTTGGTCAACTTAGCAAGTCATCCAGCACGGTTACATACTATACACTGCAAAAATAGTATGGTATATGCCATTCTGAACCTGATGGCCTACTAAAAGAGAATTATAAAAGTGGTTTTCTAAGAATCTAGAAACAGCTTTGGTATAAATAAAGGCCCATTGAGTACATTAAATATTTAGCTGCATGATAAACTATAGAGTAAGGTTTACTTACTCAAGAGGGGTCATGCAGGTGACAAAATGCTGGATAGTTTTGAATGAAAGAGGTTCATTCTTCCTCCTCCTCTTTCTGCCTGCATCTCAGACTCTGAGCCTGGGGTACAAACACGCTCACTATCAATGTGAGAAAAAAAAGGAACTTTTGGCAACGCATGCCATTCTCTGGAATTTTCCCCAAGTCTATTGACTTTTGAGAAAAACAGCCACTGCAAGTAGAAATTTGTAGAGTTGACAAAAAACTCCCCGAATGGCAATTTGTGAAACAAAAAATGAATTAATTACATTTAAAATTCAATTAAATCAATAATTTTCATCATTTAGAGTTCACCCAAACATTTAATTTTGTTGATTTACTCACCTTCAGGCCTTCAATGGAAAAGATCTGGAGAAATTTAGCATTATATCACTTGCTCACCAATGGATCCTCTGCAGTGAATGGGTGCCGTCAGAATGAGAATTCAAACAGCTGATAAACGTTGGCACCAATAGCCTCGTGGTTAGCGTGCCGGCGTACAGTGCATCTGTGCTTGTCCCACTCCCCTCTCTTCACCCAATTCTTTCCTGTCTGCTCTCTACTATCCTAACAAATAAAGGCATGAAAAGGCCCAAAAATGTAACTTTAAAAAAAGAGCTGAACCATCACAAAATGGACTAGAGTCGTGGATTATTGTGAAACGAAAGTCTGCATGTTTGTAATAAACTAATTCATAATTAAGATTTTTAACTTCAAACTGTTGCTTTTGTTGTGTGGATTATTTGTGGATTATTGTCATGATTTATCAGCTGTTTGGACTCTCATTCTGATGACATCCATTCACTGCAGAGGATCCTTTGGTGAGCAACTGCTGTAATGCTGAGTTTCTCCAAATCTGTTACGATGCAGAAACAAACTCATCTACATCTTGCATGGCCTGAGGATTAAGACTACATTTTCAGCAAATTTTCATTTTGGATGAACTATTCCTTTAAACAGTTAAGTCTGATATTGATCATTTCTAAAGTCTTTTCAAAAACATTTTAAAGTTGTTGCTTTTTTAATTAATATTTATGTTTGCTATTCCAGTAGGGACTATCTATTTTAACTTCACTGGAAACTGTTGTCCTTATTCACTAAATACATCATAAATCAGCTATTTAAATGTTAAATGTTCCCATTCCAGAACTATTTTTAGATACTCATACTCATTCTTTAGGTCTACAATAATTACTAAAACTCATTTTAATTCCTACTAACAATTGCAAAACATTTTTCCCCTAATATTTTGTAATTACCATCAAAGTTCAATGAAAAGTCTTACCAATAAAATTGTAATAGATACTATGCAAAAGCAAATAGTTTCT